TGAGGGGGAAGGCGAAAGAGGGAATTTAGAGTTTGAAGTCGATGTAGGAGGAATAATAGGAATTGAAGAGGGAGGTTGATTATGAATACAATGGTCTTGGGTGCTGTTAGAGGTATGAGGGCGGTTATCCCTTCCCGGTTGCCCACACCGTGGAAGGGTTCTTCTGGAGGTACTTGAAAAGGAAATTGGATTAGAGGCGGTCTCAGTGGCCTGAGAGCGTGACCGCAGCGCCCAAGGGACAACTGCTTGAGGCCGGTCGCGCACGGCCTTTTTGTGGAAGGCTTTTGACGTGTTAGCTCCGTTCTTCAAAGGGCCTTACGCCGGAGACGGAAATCCGTGAGGTAAGGTGAGGTGCGCATTTTTAGGGTCGACCTTTTCTAACCCCACGCCTCGATGTGGGAAGGCAGCATCGCTGTTATGCTGGTTGTCCGAGGGAAACACCCTACAGCTGTCACACCTCTGTACAGTCAGCAGTACGACTTCGCCTTCGGACCTTGGGTTTGTTGCTTTCACTCTTACCGCTCTTCAACCGACCTGTCTGACATGGTAGGACCTTGAGAAACGGTTGTTCCAGCCAGTATAGCTCGGTTGCTTCATCACGATAGGCAAGCCCGACCACCACGTCAAGGTAGCAACAACGGTCGGGAATTAATTGAAAGTATTTATTCTTATTCTACCTATTATTCTTTTACTTGCACACACCATTAATTAGGATGGCGATAAATATAAACTCACGCAATTCTACTCAAAAATTGTGTAACCAACTTACGACTTTTGTTTTCATAATATATTATCTAAGTATAAAAATGTTCTATGTTGTCCTGACTACTGTTGAAATTGATTTCGACAAATTAGACCAAATAAATTCTTTCTTACAATCAAGATTATCTTATTGTTTTTATTGTTACTATAGAACATGGTAACTAAATCTCTGTCAGTTTTCTCTAGTATCTATGATAAAAGTGGTCAATGTACAATATTCCTATTAGTAGGTTGAAGCTTAAAGTCAAGCCTATATTCCACAAGAAATCAATAGACTAGTTGTTACGACTAATATCCATAGAGTAATTTGAATGTTCATCATTATTATTTTACACTGATGCATTACATGTTAAATAACTTTAGTTAAAAGTTCTATATTATGATGAAATATTGATCTTATGAAAGTTGTGTTTCATTTGTTCAACTTAAGAACAGATTTTTCCCATGTACATTCAAAATTTTCCCACGCCTAGTATGAGGTATTAACTGTTATATTGGGAATAGTTAAAAATATGTTATACAATTATACTATAGAACAAGTTATTAATAAAGTACCCTTTAACTTATAAAAAGTTGTTAGTTCCATCCTTCATCTAGAACAAAAGATCTAATACAACTACGTACTGATACAAGTTACTAATCTCCATATCTATATTATTGCTAATTTGACTTAAAATGATTGAAAACCACGTAGTTCTATCACTTAGATTTCATTTCAATTGTTGGCAGTTATTGTGGACTTAGCTTTTATTTAGGTTATCTTATGTTGGTAAATAATCTAAGAGATATTTTTCTTTTAATCATATAGATAGACGCTTTCAACGCTACAGAACATTTTACACGAAATGAAGTTTGTTCATATTTGGCCTATATTTTATAATAATAGTAAAAATAGACTGATGAATTACAGTTGTAAACATAGTGAGACGATTTAGAGAGCAACTAATATAAAGGAATTAGATTTCTCCCCATTGCAAAAGTCAGTTGGCTATCTGAACTAATAAGCTGAGTAGATAACGTGATGGTGTTTGAAGCGAGTGGTTCTAATCTCGGGGTGAACATTAACTGTGGGATGCAGGTAAATCTAGTTGGTGAGTCCCAAATAGGATGTAACACGCTTTCTGGATTTCACTCCTGGTTACTATCCATCCCTGTTTAAAAATGCTTATGAATTGCTGACATTATCAAAGCAATCCTCACAGAGTGGACACTTATCAACTGTAGTTGTAAACATCAAAAAATGACCAACGACATTATCCGCTTGCTCAATGCAATGCAGGCAAAATGAGCCTTAGTTTTAAGACTGACTAACTTTCCGGAAGTTGGACGCCTTAACTACTATGTCACTTTCATACTCATAGTTCATCCTAAAGAGAGCAAGAACAAAGATTCCTTGTTTTGAAAGTTATTCTGCCATGGATATCACTAAATCTTTATTTCCGAATTTTTATTATTTCTATTCATAATTCGTATAAATATAGCTTGTTATACCATTGTCAAGCTTCCTTGAACCAGTTGAATGGAACTCATCCGTGATTCGTGTTTATGCGGCTGCAATTCTATCTGGTACAGTCCAAATAACTCGTCAACCTTTATTGTTCTTGATAACTGTACATCATTTGAATCGATGAGTTTGTATTTATTAAAACAAAAAATTCTCTATGAATGCAACATCACTTTCCTAATATCAGATGTATGGAAGATAGACATTGTTAGGAACCTACCCTTGAAAATATTATTTTTCTGCTTATTGTCAAAAGTTTGTGATAAACCTGATAATTAAGTGCGAACATGAGAGACTTAGTGATCTTGACCAACTCTGGACTCAGTCCGAACAATCAGAAAACTGTAATTATGAAAATATGATTTACAGTGCTAGGATTAGCATGGCTCAATATCGAGCACATTGGCGTCGTTGTATACATTCTTTGTCCTTCCTTAAACTATGAGATTAAAATCGCTTGATATTTTTCTTTCTATGAACTAATTCTTTCCTCGCGTACTATGTCATTATACGCACTCAGTCTTTTACATATTACCACCACTGAATTAACTACTTCTATGAGTCCGGTGTTCATCTTGCTGTGCTGATTAGGTATGGCAACTTGAAACGATGCACATATGTGCCTGGTCCTACGTTGTAGCTGACTGACTGATTAGCATTTACGCTTTACCATTTCTGCACGTGTATCTCAATCGTGTAATTAGACACTGTGTTACTTTGAACATCTATCTTTATATCCATTGGATTGTCATATCACATACGTAATCCGACTTAGAATAAATAACGAACAGTTTTGAATATATCTTTAGACAGCCAGTCATAATCAATGTAGAATCCAAGAACGTATATACGTTTATCTAAGTTCTCACATATTAACGTTTAATTGCAAAGAAATTTAAATAATATAGCAGCTACCATTCTAAGAAAGATTAAACAATCCGGATATTATTGGAAAATACAGGTGCACAATCTTTACTTTATAGCGCACGATGAAAAAAGGAATGAATCTGTGCCACAGTCAGTCAGTCAATCAGTCACAACGTAGAACTTCGTACGTACGTACATCAGTTCGAGTTGCCACACCACATTAGCACAGAAATGCAGTTGTCAATTCAAATCCCGTAGTGCTAAAGTTTGTCAAAGTACAAACAGTAATCGGAAACATTAGGCTTTGAAGATGTTATTCAGGAAGTATAATACAGTGAGATAAATTTGGAAAGAGAAAGAAAGTAACATGAAGAATTCAGAAGATTAGAATTTGGGAGAACATAAAGAGTGGATGCACCTGTGCCATTGCAAACGATTTTGAGCCATGTCATTCAGGGTCTCTAGCCATCGGTTGCCAACATCTCGCGGTCCCCAACCAGGTAGTCTACACCCACCAATATGAGACTGTTCCACTGTGACTCATTATAACACATGTCACCACTCAACGTTTAACTTTATAATCTAATTACTGTAAAGGATTGAATTTTATCAAAAGAGAGTTACATAAATAAGTGATACTAACCTAACTCAGTTTTATTATTCTTTTATTCTTTAACTATCTGATTTCTTCATTCCAGCTATTTATACAATAAAGATAATCGGGATAGTGGATTTACTCAACAATTTGTACGTTTATGTAATTTATTACCTCAAATGACAAATGTCAAACCAACATCATCATCGTCGTTGCCGTTGTCGTCGTCTATGCAAGCAATCGTTAATAAGACTGATATTCTAAATTTACTATGATTTTTAAACAAACTAATAAACAATGGTTACAACAAACGAAATCCATCGAATTGAATACAAATTTACATGTTGGTCTACATGATTCATTAGTTCATTTAATTCATAATAATGATTATGCCGACATAACTAGTGCAACAACATTTAATGAAGCTATTTTCAAAGCATCTATTGAATGGTACAATAGTGATACACTAACTAAGCATCGTCAACTTTATTGGATTGAATTATTTGAAAGAGTATGAGGAAGGCAGTAAAGGAGAATCAATTTAATGGAGAAAATAAAGTTTAACTAAAATCATACATCTAAAGATACTACTTATTTACTTATTATCAAATGAACATACTATGATATTTACAAACATGTAAATAACATTTAATGCTGTATTCTATTTATCATAGTTCTTGTTTCTATAAAAAGATTATGAAAAGATTCATTCTCTTATTTGATGATGTTTCAGTCATTTCACTAGCTAAGCGTACAATTACAATTGTGTTCAAACAATGAAGGCACAAGTAGTTTATTACACTGAACTAAGTATTTTTCACTGGTAATAAACAAGTCACTTGGTGATGGAAAAGATCTCCAGTATCAATGGATGTTTCACATATATAAATGTGATACGATGAAATTATCTTATGAATAAAAGAAAACTGGTTTGTAGAATTCTAAATGTAGCAGAATATTTTAGGGACTATCTGTGCTTTGTGTAGTAACCAAGGTCATAATATATATCTAGTTTTCAAGTAATGATCGATCAAGTTGAAATTTAGCCATTTGTCTTTACTGACTTATGTTGTGTGTACTGTGTTTTTGCGTATCGATTGCTTAGAGTTATCCGGCAAGTGTTGATTTGTAGGGCTGGCCTTTTTCTCATTGTTTGGATTGGTCAGCAAGACGTATGTGTAATTTTAAGGGAACTGATGTCGACTAGAAGCTTAAAAATAATGATAATATGTGTAAGGAATCAGAAGCGCTTTTGATCAAAGTTGAGAAGGAATGATAAAAGGTAAGTCTCACGATCCTTCATATACTGACCATATGAATATTCTACAAACGAAAACTGGCGAGTGAATAGCGACAGGTTCATAAAGTGGAAAGGTAGTGTTATAGTTAGGCTTGTAGAGGCAAATTTCCTCCATATCTGACTCCAATTGCTAGTATCCCGTTAACTGAATATTTAGTGAAGGTAAATCTCCTAGTAGAATTATGGATTTACTCGAGATTATTCAAAAGCTTGAACACCAGTTATCGAGATAGTTTATTGTTAAAGATTGGTAAAATCCGCAAGCGTACAGGAAGCAAGCACACAGGGTGAACAAGAGTGTATATGTGTTACAATCCCGTATATACTTACGAGTGTTAATCAAGTATGGATAAATTATTGATTGTCTGTGTATTTCAATCAATGGGAGAATGAATTAAAAATTGATATGTGCACAATCATACACAGAAAATTACTTAGTGGATTTAATGTCTAAATTACAGTGAGAAGGTAAATAATACAGCAGTTGATTGGGCTTACTACAAGCTGAACACTGAGATAATTAGTAATCGGTCAAGAGATGGCTTTCATTTCCAAGGGATTAAAAATTCACCACTGATAGATTTAAGTTCTGAAGGGATATTTATATCTAAGTGAGTACATACTCGGCGAGACTCGAATTTATGGAAGACCACTGAACGAATCTGAAGTGACTTTGAGAAATATTATCCAATCAGCAAACAGTTATTATAGAGTAAAAATATGTTATACAAAATCAAGGAAATAAAGTGGATACATTTCAAAACTTATCAAGGTTGGGAAGTGGTTCTAAAATCGTAATGCATGCAGTAGAGGAAATCGTCCATATGGCTACAGAACAGTCGGCCTCTGGAGCCATGATAAAGTCTCGAAAACTCTTTCAGCCTCAACCACATATTGTTTATGTGCACCTCGGTTGTTGAGTACATAAAATGCTACTTGTGGATAACGACACGATGAACATAACCAAGCCTATGTAGGAGTCTGTACACTCTCCAAACATCCGGATATATTGTAGTACCTGGCTGCAGACAGTGTTACTGGTGCTTTTATTATCCAGTTCGCAATAATTGTCGTAATTCGCCGTAGTGAGGAATTATATATGGGGTTTTCATCACTAACTGACATCAGCTATAATGCCAGAAATTCATTTAGCCAAATGGAAGACAGGCTTTCGCGTTAACATCCTAGATCTATTATCTTATACCTGATTGATTCGTCCACAAATTATAGTCCCGCCGTTTTATTTGTTATAGCCGCTCAATTATCATGTTTTGTACAAAATTCCCTGTGAACCGACCGTACGTTAGCACAAAGCACTAAAGTTTGCGCCGTCAACTTGAAATCTCTAACAGGCATCTGATTGGCTCGTCTGTGAATTAGAGTCTCGCCACATACATATTTACTCAAATAAACTTAGTTTCCTACCTTCCGTCCTTCCTCCTAAGTAGTCGAGATCATATACAAAAGTGTGTCAGCATCAAACGGTGTGACAGTAGGCTTCACAACATGCACTAACTGCTTAGAAAGATATATGATACGAATAGGCTAAACAAACGGGTTTTCTAAGCTGTCCAGTCGCTGATCATTTTGGATGTAATGGTATCATTTCAAGAGAAACTGTGAGAAAATGACTTCAAATGTTGTTATACTTTGCTGAAACTAAATTTATTCATTCGATAAGATACTGGACAGTTGTCGATATTACTTTGGTCCGGTTACCTCAGTTTTTAATACGCATGCTTTCAGTTATATTAACCTCTTTCCCCGTGTTTCATTATTATCTGACCTCCATTTATCCAAACAGTCTATTTTCATTGTAGTTCATATTCCTCAATATAAACCTGTTCCCATGACATTCTGTTTTTTTCTTTAAAATTCATATAACTAATCTGTCAATACTCAACCATATAAACTACTTCATGTCCTCTGATATAAACTATATACAAGTAACCGCTAAGCTACTAGTATTTGACCACAGATGCCTTAGACATATTGCTCACATCTGCTGAGATCACCGGGTAAGTATCTTTCTTTCTACGAACAAATTCTTTCTTCCCGTACTATGTCATTATACGCACTCTTCCTCTTATATATTACCACTATTAACATAACCACTACTATGAATCCGGTGTTCATCTTGCTGTGCTAATGTGATATGGCAACCTGGAACGATGCATCTATGTGTATGGTCCTACGTTGTAGCTAACTGACTGACTAAATCCCTAATATATTTTGAAAACTATCGTTTCTAGGTTATAAGCAAAATTCTTCTCAGCGAATGAAATCAAAATAATTTCAATGTTTCATCCAGAAAACTTATCTGAACTTCTTCAGTGTAATACAATAAAAAATTATCACAGAAAATTGTTTTCTCTATAGTCGCAGCCTAATTTCTGGCAAACCATTCGTTCAAATATCAACGGATATTTGTATAAATTGTCTAGATCCTTAATACAACTGGATACATCTATCTCCATTCAATAGCCAATTGATCTTCCTATTTCTTTTTATCTGACATATTTAAATCAACAAGACGAATAATTTCTGTTCTATGATTTATTTATAATTCGCAACCCGTAAATAATATCTACAAAATGTTCAAGTTTTACAAGTAGAGACCCGTTCTTAAACGGAGCCACAAGAAACGTGAGAAACAAGTAAAAATTGATAATTATAATTTATTATTATTATAGTAAAGAGAAAAGATCTGTACAAAGGAAATCAAATCATTGTGTATTTCTGAAGAAAGATATGAGGATGATTATGAAGAGGATTTAGATGGTGATGTTGATTAAGAAGATGATGATTTAGATGATGATGTTTTAGATGATGGTGATGATGAATTAAATGGTGATGATGATGATGTTTTAGATGATTATGATGTTTTAGATGATGGTGATGATGATTTAGATGGTGATGATGATGATGCTGATGAATATGATGACGATGATGGTGATGATGATTTAGATGGTGACGATGATGATGCTGATGAATATGATGATGATGGTGATGATGATCATGATTATGATGATGATGATGACTTAGATGGTGATGATGATGATGATCATGATGATTACGATGATGATGACGATTTAGATGGTTATGATGATGAATATGATGATGACGATGATGATGATGATTATGATGATGACGATGATGATGATGATTTAGATGATGATGGTGATGATGATTTAGATGATGGTGCTGATGATGATTTAGATGTTTGAGATGTTGATGATGACCCATGCTACCACACTTAAGTAAGAAAATTCATTTATAAGATGAGAGAGAGAATGAAATGGAAATAATATCAACTAAGACATACAGCTGATCATGGAAAAATATACTTACCGTGAAACAAATTTATCCATTCGTCTACGGATGATAACAAGTGTAGCTACACATTTGTAGATGGGGATTATACTTGAAAAGGTCAACTATACAAGTGAATTGATGCGTTCACATTTACACAGGATGATGAAATACATTGAAGCCGAAGATAACTATTTCTCAGTGAGCCTTAGAAGATATGCATCTCAACTCTAAAGCTTTTCAGTAACTGATCTTTAGAAACAAATCACGGTCTGAATTAAAACCTTTCCCATTACTTACTCGATAGCCACCAGTCCCCGAAACGTTGAAACCATGAGCTTCGTTGACATATGATTCATTTGACTGTTTGTTAGCCTTGGCGGCTTGGAATTCTCTTAGCTATTAAAAATGATGTATAGGAAAGAATGTGATGTATGGCGAAAAATCACTTCATAATATTAGTATATGTGTAGTTCATCTACCACGTAAAACTGAGAAGATAATGTCAAGTTGAAATTGTAATTGTTCGAGGTTCACAATTAAAAACTATGTCTCGGAAAGCAGATGTATCATGCATGTGTGAGCAGTGGAAGCTTGATAATAGTTCTCAAGAAATCTAAACACGGTGATGTATCAATTCCACGAAACCCTCATTGGCATATTTACGTTATACAAATCTTATATCTGATATGAAATAAACCGAAAATACCCGTCACGTTCAATTAGCAGAATTTATGCTTTCCGCCTACGTTAACTTTGAAATTTAATACAATGTCATATATTAGAGTGAGAAAAGTCTGTGTCTAAACCACTTTTATTTTAAGCAAGAAAACAAAACACAGTATGGCTTTGTTGGTACTATAAATAGAAAGCACTGTTCAGAGAAACGTGAGTTTCCGCTATGCACGACATGAGACCACTAGAAACAACGAATTACAAAGCTAGTTTAATTCCATTTAAATGATAGTAAGGCTTAGTGACACAACTGCAATTTATTCCGACGTTTTGAACAGGCGTGTCGAAAGATGAGAGTTATAGACCTAACTTCTGGCACCAGGTTTTTGAAACTACCACATAGAACGTGCAGTGCACTGTATAACAGTGGATCATATTATAGAACGTCCTTCGTAATTGGGAAATGTGTAAAGCTGTTAGTGTTTGACCATAGACCGACGTATCTCACGTAAAGAAAAATGACTGAGTATATAACGATCTTAAAAGCAAATTATTATATTGAGCTGAAAAACCGATAAACAGGGTCGCAAATACCTAACAATTGGAAAATGACAGATAGAACAAACCGTCCTCTCCAAAATCGGCAACTTTATGCATTACCTGATTTCAGCCACCACCTTATTACAATGTAATGTTGACTGACAGAGATGATCACGAAAAAACCACAGGATAAGTATTTTAGCGGATTTATGATGACACTATACACTTTTTGATATTCCTTCGACGACTTGGTTACAAACACATAAGCGATCTATACCCGAACAATAAGCACAAATACCCAGTATCGAAAGTGCCTGGACCCCCACAGATGATCTCACGAATTTTTCTTAGACCGAACACGTACTCCAATTAAATATTTGCGTAGAGAAATCGAAATGTCAAAACCAACTAACAAAATAAAGGTATTCTGCAATAGTATGGTCATATGTCAGTAAACACACCTTGTTCTTAGCAGCCGCTATTTTCTCTGCTCTACTTAGTTCCGACATCTTACTTCTGCCAGGGTGACGTGTTAAATGAGCTTGGCTACCTTCCATGACCTTGGCTGCTAGGCTACTTTCAAGATGTTTTTACAGCATATAAACACCATAAAAGAGCTACACTCAAACTGAGGTTGTACAACAGATTATGAGCTTATACATCTTACAAAATTACACAAAAAATAACAAGAAGACATCTTCTTTGTAACGATTAACAGATAGAGATGAGAACATTTTATTTATTATTTGTATATAGATGACATTAAATGACTCTTAAAAGAGAGTGTCTTTGTACACATTCAAGGTTGCATTTTAGTTTCAACTCGAGTATACCGAAGTTCGCAAACTTGAACTGTGTTTTTGTAAGCATTGTTTGGTTGAAGTCATCATGTACTTACTCAACTGCTACATCCTAGTGGTCGACCTGAACAAATGGTGATCAGTGAATGCAGAACTTGTGCATTCCTAAATACGCTCTGCTTGATTACAAAAGGGTTGACTGTTACGATCAATGAATCCGAGTACGGGAATGACTTTAGGGTAATCCGTCTCTCCAAAAGTTTATGAATATTTATGCTTCAACTGTCCTCTTGAAGACGCCGCAGCCATCTCTAGTTTGATAACACTTCGACCAATAACACCTTCCATAAATGAATCGTGCTCACCCAGTGATACCAAAAGTCAGAAGCAAGGAGATTCGAAAATATATTTGATAGGCTATCAATATATCGAGAAACGACTGATCTAAACTGACTAGCGATTGCAAAAGTTCTTACTCGTGATCTGGCGCAGATGCATGACCGAGTGCCTTCAGCTAATTGAGCTCAATAAATCTAATGTTTTCAGCACACAGTGCCGACTACCTACAGAGCTATTGCGTTTGGAGATTTATTTACCGATACATTAATTGCACAGCGATTACTGTTGTCTAATAAAGATCGGAAAGTACAGCAGGTTCATGTCGCTTACCTTGCGTTCAATCATTAACAAATTTGACGAAACGAGTAATGAATGTTTTAAGATCGACATGACGAGAACACATTACGAAGGTATTGTCGAAACAGTGATGATAACTCTTTTCATCCTGTTCGAATCAAGTAAAATTACGAATGAAGATGGCACGTTAGTCGCTTGAATGTGAGTAATTTACATCAAATTTCACAGTAGAGCGTGGAGTTATGTATTCAGACAAACAAATAGGGAATATAACACCTATACAAAATAAGGAAGTGAATAAATACTTGAACTATACTGTCCAGGCATATTCTTGGTTGTTTGATGTCAACTCCTAACCAACCAACCTAGGCTGTTACATTAGCTTCCCCCTAGAATCGACTTCCGTAGGAACGTCGGTTCGATTAACGTATCTATCAAAAACACCTTAGTTCTGTTTTTCCAGCCCAAGCGAAAATTATCAACTCGCTCACTGTTTGACTTCATCAATAACGACTAATTCCGTCAGCAATCAACGATAGTCCGTCGATGTCTCTTCATTTGATATCCTGTCTTCTTATTTATAGCATGTGATTTCTTGTACAACTATTGCTAGCAGTTTACTACGTGCCCTCAAAAAAGTGTGAGAATGTGGGACAAGAATATCTGAGGAAAAACCGCGAGCGGGCTACCAAACACCATGTTGGTGAGGTACGATTTTCATGCTCAGACCGGCTATCAGGTGTTTACTCGCCTGCCTCTTGAGTCGCCCTCAAGTAACATGTAAAGAAGAATCTCCTTCAAAAGTAATGGTGAAAGTCAATCAACCTGAAGAACTGCTCCACTGCCTGATTAAAATAATAAGATACAAAGTGGAAATACATAAATATAATTGATAATTGTTCGGTTCCACGTAAGTGCTTGGCCTCCAGAACGGATTGGTATTCTGGAAGGAGATAAACATAGTGTATACATCTTGTGTACAAAAAACTCTTTTATAATGCATATATGTAAAAGTGTAAGTTTGCTAGAAGTTGGACCCATTGTCAAACCCTATCAAATGTATGACTTTGGGTCTATGACGACCGCCTTTCATAACCAGGTACGTAACCAAGGGTACATAAGAGTACTCCACAAAATCGGAAAGAATATATGGTTAAGGAGGAAAAAATTGCGTAGAGTGTGAAGATCAAGTACAGTTGTGTCAAATACTCTTTTGTGGTTTGATTGAGGTATTCATGATATATTGAAGCAATATTTCATCAATTCATCCAAGCAACGAATTGGTCTGCACCTTGGAAGTGTGTAAGTCCTATTACTCATTAGTATTATGAATGATTAATCGGTGTAAGTAAATATTGAAGTCATTTCCTTGTGACCTGATGTGGTTTAATGGCTACCCACCTTCAATACGATGTTTGTGTGACCGAGAAATTCTAAAGTTTGAACACCGAAAACACACTTACTTTGATGTATGTTCATTCCATGTTCATCCAGTCTTTTCAACACTGCTCGTACATGCTGCTCGTGTGATTGCAAATCGAGGCTGGCAATTTACAAATCGTCTATCTACCCCTGCGCAAATGGCATATCTCGAAGTAGGTTATCTATGAATCTTTGAAATGTCTGTGCCGCATTTCTCAGGCATAATGGCATGCGTACAAACTCGAATAAGCCAAAAGGTGTAGTAATAGCTGTCTTGGTGATATCTTCATCGGCCACCGGGATATTGTGATATGCCCTGACTAAGTCAATTTTAGTGAATATGTTCATATCTTGTAAACCGTTTGTAAAATCTTGGATATGCGGTATTGGGTACCTATCTGGTTCACTTTGACGGTTGAGGGCTCTGTAATCCCCGCACGGTCGCCAGTCGCCTTCATTTTTCTTTGGGACCATATGCAAAGGGGATGCCCATTGGCTATCAGAGGGACGGATAATACCGAGTTGTAGCATATAATCAAACTCGGCTCTGGCGATTTTGAGCTTATCCGGTGCTAGTCTCCTGGGTTTTGCAAACACCGGTGCACCTTTGGTTTTGATATTATGACTTACTTTCAGTTTGTCTTCGGAAGGCTGTGGGTGTGGTTTAGTTATGTTTGGAAATTCCGCGAGTATATCTTGGAATTTCGCTGTTGTTATTGGAGGAGTTTGAGTCAAGTTAAGAGAGCTGATGTGACTTTCTTTGCCTTTTGTGTAATTCGAAGTTTTTTTCAGTGTTAAGCGCCGTTTTTTAGTGTCAACTAGAAATTCGTATCTCTCTGGAAAGTCCATCCACAGTATTGACAGATCCAAGTCGGCTACCGTGAAAACCCAAGGGAATTGCCTCCTAAACCCCAAATCTAGGGTTAAAGTTTTCTGCCCAAATGTCGCGATTTTAGTTTTATTTGCAGCTTGGAGTGTAATTGGGGATGTTTCTGGACTCAGCTTAGCTTTGTTTTGAGGGATGATACTAAGAGCAGCGCCAGTATTCACCAAGAAATTCAAGCCAGAGTTTCTGTCTCTAACATAAAACAGGCGACTGTTTAGGCACACCTCCTCTGTCGTCGCGACCTGGGGAGGGGTTACTCGTTTCCCGCTATCTTGGAATTTTGTTTAGGCCAGGCGCATGGTTGCATGCACTTGGTTGAGTTAACACCAAACTTCCAATGGTACCAATAAAACTGCCCAGATTGTCCGGACATTTGTGACCTGTTTTATGACTTGCATCGTGGTCATTGTGGTGACCTGCTCCTGTTTCTATGACCCATTTGCATTTTGGCGACAGCCTCAGTGAGACTCTTAACACTCGCAATGAGTCCTTCTATGACTGGGTCTTTCGCTGATTCTACTTTGTGTGTGTGATTTATTGTGCCTGATCCAGTTGGAGGACCTCTTTCCATTATTCTATCAGCTATACGCGCGAAATGAGATAATGAGGTTTCAGGATCTTGTGCATCCAAACATTGTTGGACGTAGCATGGGAGAGCTTGTATCCATCCTTGTTTTAGGACTGCCTCACCCACTGTGTTATCACCCACTAAGGCTTGGAGGTGACGTAAAAACTGTGACGGCGACCGATCACCTAGTGTTTCACCTTGAAAAAGTCTTTGGATTCTTTGGCTATCTGATAATGATAAACGGTTCATTATCTCTCGTCTTAAGATGGTGTATGGTTGTGGTGATGGTGGACTTAAAATCAAGTCACGGACTTCCTTGGCGACTGAAGGAGGAAGGATAGAACACAAGTCTCTATAGCGAATCCCTTCAGATTTGATATTGTGTCTCGTGAAATAATTCTCTAATTGAGCAAACCACAACTCAGGATGGATGCTTTGGAACCCGTATAAAACAAAAGACGTTGTTACGGAAATGTGTTAGCAAAAGTAGGTACAAGGAAGAAGTTGAGACCATCACCGTATGAGTTAGTTCATAGCGTGCAATCGATTGATGCGTGTTACTTGTCCTTGACCCAGACGGGATCGGCGAACCGTTCGACATACAGGGACTCAACCGCCAGATGATTTCGCAAGGGCTCAACGACATTTGATTGGTCCTACGGACACTTTATGCGTAACAATATTGCTATTCAATCTCTTTATTTTATATTCATCAGTTGTAAGGCATACACAGCTCGTAACGTCATTACGTATTACCAAATTCATTGTCCGAGTCCTCACTTTGACTTCCGTCAGTTTTGTCGGTTGCGAAATAGGTCATGTGATATTGATAGTGCTGTGCATATTCTAGGTCATTTTTACTTCATTCGAACCGTAACGTCTATCTACTCATAGTGCTCTGGAGTTCTCATTCTCACGTTGACAACAATTTTAGAAGAGCATATCAATCAACTAAAATAATTCAGTTTTGTAGTATATTTGTAACGAGGATTTTTTGGCAAAATTTTCGTTATTTATTTGTATTGAGTACAAGTATTTCCTTCCCATATGTGTTTGTTAGTTGCTGTGTGCATAAACGTTTGCCGAATCCCTCTGCGTGATCTTGTAAGTATCCTAGATAAAGAATGTTCGTGCGAAATTTGAAAATGGTAACGTTTTTCACATGGTTAAGGTATTCTTCGACTTGTTCTATTGTAGGGTGTATTGTACTGTTATTATCATCCTATCTTGTACATCGAGTACATCTTACCGTTAAAAATAAGAAAAAATTGTTTTCGATGCACAACTACCAGTTCTTATTATTCCTATTGCGGACTTAAGTCTCTAATACATCTAAAATTTATTATATACTCATAGACTCTGATCCTAGTATTAACCAGGTTAATACTTAATAACAACAAATATTCAGATATTATATTCAATTTAACGAGCTCTGTGCTCACCCAGTTTCAAATCATGGCCAATAACTCTAATGAAAGAGGAATTTCACCAACTTCTTAGCCAAATAGAAGGTCCAAATCTGTAACCCCTATATTGGCTCACTAATTCCATACAAGAATATATAAGTCATTCCAGACCTTACGCCCTGTCAACGTTGTGTAAGGAGACGTGAAGCGATGGAATTCAGTGGTAGTATTACAGCAAATAACCAACCAGAGACAGTTTGCAACACAGCAAATAGTCTAAAACACACGAACAATAAGCATGACACCACGCCAATTACGGCTGATCACTCTGTAGATCTAGATGAGTCTGCAGATCGGAAACCTTTGGATAAGATACGGACTCCAACTGACACCAAAAACCATAACGACATGACTAATCCCGGCTGATCGCTCAGTAATGTACTAAAATGTGAGTCGTGCGACAACACGCATCCAACTAAACCTATACACTTGAGAATTAGTCCTTCCAAAAATACTCTACAAGTTGACTTGAATGAACCTAAATTCATCTCACAGAGACAACGAAAGACTCCAGCTCTGTCTAATAAGGGCGTCCTGCTTGAGCATCTGAGTTATCTGTTCCTGCCATCTAGATACTTCAACAAGTTATCTATTTTTGTTCGTTTTAATATATCATTATGTTTATTATTCGCATAACCTATTCTGCTGCGTTTCTCAAAAGTGTATAACCTTTCATTGTCAATGTTATAAAAAACTCAAAAAGAGACAATGTGGTTACTGGCAATATACAACGAAAAGAATGCACATTATTCAGATGTTCGTTTACTGAACTGCTGACAACTAACTGGCGATCACTCGATATCCATCGCCAGGACCGACAAAGAAGACTCCCTTACGATGAGCGTTTAAAACGCCTAAATCTTCTCCCCTTGTCGTATCGTCGGACACGAAGTGAACATATACTGGCATTTCGTATCTTTAATTATGATTTGGGTGTTATTATGTCTTAATTTTTTGCTCCCTCCAGCAGTAATAATCATTGGAACGCCTTACCCGAACAAGTGGTATCAGTCCCATCAGTGAATACTCTCAAAGAGAAGCTGGACCTTCACTGGAAAGCAATGTGTCAGGATTATTACAGGCTCACCAACCTACTATCCATATTACTGAAGACTGAAGACTGAAAGAAACGGAAACATATTGAAATACTCTGCGCTGAGAATTCTATATTGTACCAAAAATATAATATTGAATAAAGCTGATGGTAATGATAATAATAATAATAATAAGAGTCACAGTGAACAGGTTCTCCCTGCTGCTATCGTATAACCTGCCTTCAACACCTCGAAGTTGCGAAACGGGTGGTGAGCTTCAGCGTAACAAGCCTTCTTACACACAGACTAACGAAAAATCCCAGAGAACTGGCCACCCAAATCACCCTCTGAAGCCTAAAATCATTAATAAAAATGGGGCGAGACTAATTTAGGGACGACCTTTGAACGAATCTTAAGTGACCTTGACAATTATTAGTCAATCAGAAGACAGTTAGTATAAAGTGGAAATACATTATATGAAAGTAATGAATTACAGTGGATATTCTTCTTTACATGATTTAAAAACTTGTTCAGGTTTGATTAAGGTTCAGAGGTTCTGAATTCATAATGCATATGGTATAGAAACTCGTCCATAGGGTTAGGGTTAAGGTTAGGCGGGTTAGGTGAGGGTTAGGGTTTACAGTTAAGGTTGGGGTTAGGATGCTAACATACGATCGGTTTACAACGGATTTTAGAGAAGAGGTGTTTATTGAGATACTACAACCGTAACCCTAACCCTAGGCTACAACCCAACTCTAAACCCTAACCCTATGGACGAGTTTATGTACCGTATGCATTATGAATTCAGAACTTCTGAACCTTAATCAAACCTGAACAAGTTTTTAAATCATGTAAAAGAAGAATATCCACTGTAAATCATTAGTTTATTATAATATATTTTCGCTCAAACGCTTGTGATTGGCTCGTCCCTGTATTAGAGTCTCGCCGTCCCATCTGTTGTAACCTCTTATTAATCACCTCCTCTCTAAAGTACGCTGTGAACCAATCGTATGTTAGCATCACGTGTTCAACTTGGCTCCGTGAACTTGAAATTGCCCAAACGCTTCTGATTGGCTCGTCCCTAAATAAGAGTCTCGCCGAAAATGGTATTAATAGGTTTCCCACTCCACACCCTATCTACATTCCCCAGGATCACAACTGTAACTACTCTCAGGAAGAAACTTTTCACACCCGTGAGTACCAACTTATCACATAAAAACGGCTCGCATGTGTAATAACAGTCGCAAATCCTTCCGTTTACGCACAGCTGACCTCTGTCACGCTAACGTAAATAGCCATAACAGAGGCTACCAGTCTAACCATCAAGACTATTTTGCAAATAACCATAGCCATCATCCATCTTTACATATTATAGTTACTAGTCAAGTACCAATGAAATATATGTCTGTTATTCTCTAATTTAATATACAGCTATTCTTAAGTAATAATCAAGCTAATAGATCGATTAAATTTTCTTTTTAAAAATGACACACATGATCTAATCAGTTGATCTTCATTTTTGTTATGAAATTTACTTATATTACTGAAAAGGGAATAGAAGAAGACAGACGTTTCATACTACTACTACTAAAATAGTATCCATTATCTACACATAGATATCTTTGATCCGACCCAATTGACTCAATGTTGAGTGGATTCAACTTACTCATCACAATACATGGATTCATTTAACGAGGAAATGTCTTCTGCAAACTCATTAACAAATAACAAAGGTTGTTTAGAAGAAGTAAGTTTCATATTCAATTTGTGCGAATATTAAAATTTCTTATGAATATATATGAAGAATGAATATGAATTTTTAGTTTTCGAAGAAAGATTTTAATAGTTGAGATCATGAATCAATTAAAACTAGACCACCATGGTAAACCTAGATGCACTGGACGTCCGTTTCGTCCTATTGTGGGACCCCTCAGCAGTGCCCATCCACGACCTCGCCTCGCGAAATTCGAACTCAGAAGCTAACAGTCTCGCGCGCGATATCTGACTTCAGTCAATCCACGAAATTCAGTGACACATCCACCAATGTCTTCAGTGAGTTACTATCTCACAAGAGACCCGGTTGAACTCCACTGTCCACTGCTTCTCACCAGAACTCCAGGAAATATCTCTTGAAAACAGTCATTAATTATTATCTAAATAAGAATATGAATGACAGTGTGGAATGATTGAATTTAGGTACATAGAATATTAAAATTCGACTTTATGATCCATTCTTAATGTGAAATTCTTGAATATGATATCTGATTAAGTCATTCATGTACACTGTGAAAATGTTTCAAACTTGAACAAGTATTCAGCGTTGCATGATCTTTAACGGTTTCTTGACATAAACCTGTCGGAGTAAATGATATGAGAAAAAATAATACTTGTATATAAGGAATAAAAAAGTAGAAAGAGTAAGAAAAAATTTGGATAAGCCTTGAATACAGTTACCGTTATAACTTTTAGTTATGAACTATGTGATGTTCGAATAATGAGATATCTAAAGTCTTACCCAATAAGTTGAAATTCTTTATGTAGGGCTCAGTTCATCAATCAGTAATGGTATAGATTACTTTCTGCTCGGAATTAGAAGTAACCATCATTTACCACTAACCAACCTAAACCTTGCATGTAACTTGGTAACTAGATAATCTATATTTCATAACTTTACACACAGACTCAGTTACTGCATTTAATATCAATATCAAAACGTTGGTTCATCCATACTAAGTCTATGTTTAAGTAAACGTTGATTCATCATCTTTGAGTCCACTCTTAAAATCACTTCCGTTATATCTTGAGCTTAGTTTCTTATTATATCACGTACAACTAGAGCAGTCGAACGCTAAAACCCTCCTAAGTCTCAAGTTAGAACATAAAAGACAAGTAAAAGAAATGTTATTTCAAACAGCATCAATTATGGTACAAAAATGTCAGGTATTTATAGTTTCTAGTAAAAACGAAATCATCATTATAGCCCTTAAATGTGCATACACAGGGTTATTAGCATTTGTCCAATAGGGAAGCTACACATAGGGATTCTGAAATATTCTCCCAAAACATGATTGAATGGAGTATCTTCAGCTCTTTCTAAGCTTCTTATAGCTTCCTCGAGTTCACCCATGGGTCGTCCTCACAACTTCAAACAGCAATTTCTATCTGACACTTTTTAACCAATAAAACTTCAATGTTTACTTTATCAATTGTTTTTCAACAGAATTCACTTCATCATTATGATTTTTGGACATTGAATAATAGTTTACATTCACCATGGCCATCAATTGAAGTGGACCAACTAGCGAATTGGTTAATTGAGATGAAATCAATGATTTTAGAAAAATCACCTATTTTCCAAAAGTCAGTATGTACATTATCATATTCCTTTTCGTCCAACTCTTCATCATCATCATGTTGTTCTTCTTGTTCTTGTTCTTGTTCCTCTTCTTCTTCATCATCATCTTCAAAAGTTTTTGGACCTAATGAAGAACAGTTGAGTGGTAAAGGTAATAAGAGATCAAAATGTTGTTTACATGACCTTAGATATAAACATAAACTTCAAAATCAACAAAAAATGATCACTTTATCAAAGTTGAAAATGAATCCTAAACATTTCGTTATTATCGATTGTCGTTATCCACACGAATATAATGCTGGACATATTTTTAGTGCTATTAATTTATCAGATTGGCCAAAACTTTATAAATATTTTTTTGGTATAAAACAACAATCTATTGAAACTACTGAAATGGATTTAAGTAACTCATTATATTCAACGGAACAACTGATTGAACCAAAACCATCTCATACTATATTTATATTATATTGTGAATTTTCTACAAAACGTGCACCACAATTATTTTATCTTTTACGTAATCATGACAGACTATTACATTTCAATTCATATCCTGCATTAAAATATCCATTTGTTTATATATTACATGGTGGTTATTCAACTTTTTATAAAAACTACCCATATTTATGTGAACCAGATCTTTTAAGTATTTGGCATAAACATTGTAAACTGGTTAATAGACAAACGATGAATCCTAATTCACAAGTATATCCTGATAAAAATCATAATGAAATGTTAAACACACACACGCACATCAATCAATCAACGAATCGACACATTAAACTACCATTCAAAAGTATTACCAATCTCTTTCACAAGAAGAAAAAATAGAAGAAAAAGATTTATTTCATTGAACCAAAACTTATTAACTTACTTATGTCCGTTACTCCTTATGGAAGAGTATAAGTCACCCAGCAACATTCTCAATCCAACCTTGTCTTGATGAATCCTTTCCAGTTCTTTTCAATTGTTATTCTTTTTTTTCATGTCTGTTTCCAAGTTCCGACATAGTGTATTCTTCGACCGTCTTCTTCTTCTTGTTGTATGTTTCCCTTCACGATTCCATGTTATCGCTTGTCTCATGATGTAGTTCGAATCCAGTTCAATACTATTTACTTGTTACTTATTTATTTCATAATTATTTCCATCTCATTTCTTCTATTCATAATGATTAATATAAGTAATATCGATTCAATTCATTTTGATTGAAAAGGTTTCTCTCAAACGGAATTCATTAACATTGCAACCTATTCAACATTGAATATGTTTCATTTAATTCAATCATTATTAATGTCTTTGTTTAAATATATTTTTCTTTTATTTTCATTGGTTGATTCACTAGAATTAAAAGAGAAAAGCTTGACAAATACAACTTAAAAATGAGTTTATATGGAGCGAGAGACCGAAGGCGTTGGGTTTGAATCCCGTGAGCGGGTTCGTGGATGTGTACTGTTAAGTAGTCCCATAATATAATGAAACGAACGGCCAGTGCTTCTAGGCTTTCAACAGTGGTCTAACATCAATCGGTTCATGATCCCAATCATTAAACGTGTAATAATCTATTCAACTATTTATTCATCTGACAATAGACTGTAATAAAGGAATAATGAAATCATTAAAAATGATTGATATTCAGAAGAGTTACAATAAACTGAATAGCTGAAATATTGATTTATTTAGCCTAAATAAAGCAATTTGTTGATAGCAGGGAAATCCAGGAAGTGCATTTTTCCTGATCTAGCACTTATCATTTCGGTGTACTTTCATTCAAGTTGATCTTCTCTCCGAAGCTCAAACCCAGTACTGTTCTCTTCAAATGCCATTTCGTTATCCACTTAACTACTAAGTACAGATAGCTACTGCCTTTTGGAGTGCAGTTAATTTTAATTTATACATATTGCTTGTTTGGATCTTTTCATTAATAGTTTACTAATGCAATTTCGAGATGGTGGAAAAGATTTGTAGCTCAAGTGGACGATTTTGATGGAGTTTCGTTCTCTGAACTGGATGGTCTAGTCGTGGAGCATTCATTGTTCTTCTGAACGACATTGTCAGCACAAACTTCAGGTAGACTTCTTCAGGTGACTTCTAATACATGTTAGTTTCCATTGGATCCATCAAGTTGTAATTCACTCTTTTCTAGATTCATGAATCCATATATGTATACTGATGAGTTTTACAAGCATTACGCTGTCTTCATAAATTCAACCGAAATGACTTAATTTACATAAAATAACATTAAAAAATATGACATTACAACAGTGCACATATATATATATATATATAATTCCAGCTTTATCCTATAAACAAATTAAAGGGAAACATACCAATACTTCAATGATATACTGATAACTAACCCTTATAAACTAGATATGTATACGAATGTGTATTTTGAATCTGATTATAGGTATACACAAAATGACTAGGTTAATAATCTCATATGTTTCATTTAGAATAATCTGGTTCATTTCAAATGATTTATTTTAATATCATAAATTAGAAGGTATTGATGGTTGGATACAATACTTGTTAACTATTGTAAATATGAAATCTGTTTAATTGCTAGACCTAATAATCTAATCAAATAGATTACTTGAAGACTGTTGATTGAGATGGTCTAGATTGTTTACACGCAGTAGTCATCATCAGTATGTATAAAAATAAGTGTTTTTCTAAGTAAGTGATTATAACAAATAAAGAATGTCACTGGTTGAAATCATGAGTCAGTTGAAGCTAGACTACCATGAAAAACCTGGAACTATTGGACGGCCGTTTCGTCTCATTATGGGACTGCCCAACAGTGAAGATCCATGATCTCTCTCGTTGGATTCGAACTCGGGACTTTCGGTCTCGCATGCAAACGCCTAACCTCTAGACCACTAAATCGGCACCCAACGGTGTTAATGTGTAACTTCAACCAATCCAAGAAATAGCGCGACGGTTCACCGTTGTGTACTGGCCCAGTGATCTACAGGTTTAGCGTTCGTGCGCGTAGACCAAAGGTCCTGGTTTCGAGTCCTGCGGGCGAGATCGTGAATGTGCACTGCTGAGGAGTTTTTTCGGGAGGCCCGTGGATCTGACTCCTATTTAGATCGTACGAATGTTTGTTATCGCCTATTCTCGTATATAATCCTCGACTTAAATCACGTTAGCCAATAACGGAATTAAATAAGTCAAATAACGTGAATGGGATTTTGAATACATATATTTTGTATATGAGGTGAATGGAATAGGAGGAAGAGAAGCGACGCAGAGTGGAGATGGCCGGTAATCCAACTCATTTTTAGTCTAGCGTTACTCAATATTTATATTCAGACAAAATTAAGCTACAGACATGCAATGAGTCATGTGATATGATGTGTACAGACAATAGGCTCACATAAAAACAATCAAGACTGACAAGCGAATAATTGACAAGGTCAACCTATGACTCAAGTAGAATCAATAGAATGGAATGTCCGAAAACTAGAATAAGATATATTATGGGCTAAAACTAATGACTAACACTACAGTTTCATGCTGAGATGCAAGTGTTTTGTTCTTACACAGTTTATCTGAATATATTTGTATTTCTTCTTAATAATATTAAAATATGGTGTAGTCAATGCATACTGTTGTATTCAGTTTACTTGCCTGGATAACTCTACAAGTTCAATACATATAGATTACTTTGTAGTTGTTATTCTATGTAAAATATCCAAATAGTATTGCAGAAGAAAAGAAATTATTTAAATTCACTTGGTATTGTTTACTTGAATCGTCCTATTGATGTTTAGGACTGCAATTGATCAATCTCTTATTGGAATGGGTACATCCTGTACGGATTGCTTTGATAATGCCTTAATTAACAAATATTATAAGCAAGGATGCATAATGGTTAGCAGTGGAATCTGGGACGCGCGTTTCCTTCTATTTGAGACTCATCAGTTGGATGTACCAGGATAAATTAAATTTAACTAATATTAAATTCACTTGGTAACGTTTACTTCAATCTTCCCATTGATGTTTAGGACTGTAGTTGATCAATCTCTTATTGGCATATATGCATTCTGTGTGTATCGCCCCAATATTGTCTTAAGTCACAAGCATTATAAACAAAGACAGAGAGTGGATAACAATAGAATCCAGAACACGCGTTTCGTCCTACTTGAAACTCATCAGCTGGATGTGCCCACATCTCAGATTTGTTATTCACACCAAGTGATGAGTATCAAATTAGGACGAAACACACGTCCTGAATTCCACTGTTAGTTGCCATGCATCTTTGCTTAGTAACCAAAATTAATTTTCTTTTTCTTTTTATAAAATATATTTATTTCTTTAAACGAAATGAAAGATAAATCAAAATGAAAATGAATTAAATAACACATGAATCACTCATTAGAAAGTGAATAAAATATTTTTCTTTTCATTTTGTTCATTCATTAAAACAAAACAAACCAAAATATTAACCATGAAAACAATTGTTGAATACATTATTTAAATTGTATTTATACCGTCTTATTATTTCTTATTATGTTGATCACGTCACAATTTGTAGTACAGGTATTCATACTAGTACTAGTTCTACTATTGTTATTATTATTATTATTATTATTGTTATTAGGAGTAGTAGTAGTAGTATTCATGTCATTTATAGGAATAATATTAGCTGTTGTATAAATCAATCTAGTCGAATGATTATCATTGAATTTTGTACCGGTTTCATCTTTTTTAATTGGATGGTTTGAACGTTTATGATTTTCTAATGAACGTGATTGACGAAAGCCTCGATGACATATTGAACATGAAAATGGTTTTGATGTTTCGTCCTATTGTGGGAATTCCCGGAGTTCCAGTGAGAAGCCGTGATCAGTGGAGCTAATCCTTGTGGGGTAGAGACAGGTATCTACCTCAGTACAATGGAAGATGGTCGCAAAATTTCATGGATTGATCGAAGTTAGACATTAACACCGTTGGATGCCTGCTCACTGGTCTGAAGTTTAAGCATTGGTGCGCGAGACTGAAGGACTTAGATTTGACTCCCGCGAGCTGGATCTTGAATACGCAGTTCTCAGGAGTCCCACAACAGAACGAAACGGTCATACAGTGCTTTCGGATTTTCAGTGATGGTCTCACATCAATCAGTCCACGACCATTGTTGCAAACCTAGAAGCACTGACTGTCCATTCGTATACATATCTAGTTTATAAGGGTTAGTTATCAGTATATCATTGAACTATTGGTATGTTTCCCTTTAATTTGTTTATAGGATAAAGCTGGAATTATATATATATATATATATATATATATATATATATATATATGTGCACTGTTGTAATGTCATATTTTTTAATGTTATTTTATGTAAATTAAGTCATTTCGGTTGAATTTATGAAGACAGCGTAATGCTTGTAAAACTCATCAGTATACATATATGGATTCATGAATCTAGAAAAGAGTGAATTACAACTTGATGGATCCAATGGAAACTAACATGTATTAGAAGTCACCTGAAGAAGTCTACCTGAAGTTTGTGCTGACAATGTCGTTCAGAAGAACAATGAATGCTCCACGACTAGACCATCCAGTTCAGAGAACGAAACTCCATCAAAATCGTCCACTTGAGCTACAAATCTTTTCCACCATCTCGAAATTGCATTAGTAAACTATTAATGAAAAGATCCAAACAAGCAATATGTATAAATTAAAATTAACTGCACTCCAAAAGGCAGTAGCTATCTGTACTTAGTAGTTAAGTGGATAACGAAATGGCATTTGAAGAGAACAGTACTGGGTTTGAGCTTCGGAGAGAAGATCAACTTGAATGAAAGTACACCGAAATGATAAGTGCTAGATCAGGAAAAATGCACTTCCTGGATTTCCCTGCTATCAACAAATTGCTTTATTTAGGCTAAATAAATCAATATTTCAGCTATTCAGTTTATTGTAACTCTTCTGAATATCAATCATTTTTAATGATTTCATTATTCCTTTATTACAGTCTATTGTCAGATGAATAAATAGTTGAATAGATTATTACACGTTTAATGATTGGGATCATGAACCGATTGATGTTAGACCACTGTTGAAAGCCTAGAAGCACTGGCCGTTCGTTTCATTATATTATGGGACTACTTAACAGTACACATCCACGAACCCGCTCACGGGATTCAAACCCAACGCCTTCGGTCTCTCGCTCCATATAAACTCATTTTTAAGTTGTATTTGTCAAGCTTTTCTCTTTTAATTCTAGTGAATCAACCAATGAAAATAAAAGAAAAATATATTTAAACAAAGACATTAATAATGATTGAATTAAATGAAACATATTCAATGTTGAATAG